GCCCCCCCATCCTCCGATCCTTCGCATTTTTTGCTTCTCGACAGGAGTCCCCACACCGACACCAATCTGAGCCATCCGGGCGCCTTCACGCTCGCGAGCAGGCCGATGTTGCGTAATGCACCACCAGACGATGCTTTCCTTCGAGAAAAACACCTCCGAGACCATCTCGGGACAGCCGGGGCTGCACGACTCACGCAGCCTGAGCATGCGCAGGAAGGTGCGGACGATGAGCCGGGGGAGATAGAGGATCAGCGGCGGGTCTAGCCCTAGTGCAAGTATCAATTCATCAGCGATTTAGGAAAGCGGAACGGCAGGGAAATAATCACAGATAACGTCCGTAGAGCTGTCCTCGATAATTGTGCCGATTCTGTGACTGTAGCTGCCATCGACGACCCAGCCGTTTGGCGCCTTCGTGAGTGCTTCCACAACCTTTTCACGCATCTCGTCATTGGAGGACTGCTTCCAACCGGGCTTCCAGAAGAGTGTGTCGAGCGGGATGAACGGGACCCCCAGAAGTTCCGCGAGGCGCTTGCCGGTCGTACTCTGGAAGAATGAAACAGGAAATGGATAGCATACTTGGAACCCGTTTCAAAAGTCCGAGCACTTCCCTTGCCCACTCCTGGACATCGCAGCGCATGCAAAAATTAATTGGCTCTGTACGCCAATCAGATGGCGGCTTACCAGAGTTTCCAACGATGTGGACTCTGTATTTTGCGTGCACGTCGCCAAATAATGGTGATGGTACCATCGAAAGGTGCATTCCGCTATCGAGTCATCGTATGGGGGTATAAAAGTCCTTTCGGTCCCGAGGATTTGTGACATGTGAGTCACTGTGCCACAGGCTTAATCAGCATTCCGCTCTTTGACCAATTCACCGACAAGACTGTGCGCCCACTGCAACGCCTGGATGGCACCTGGATGGTTGTATCAGTAGCATGTCAGTTTCTCCCCGATTTACTCCTGAGGCCTCGCAGGATTTTAATTTCCGACTCGTCTCGTCGGCTGTGCGGTCATTCGCCACAAACACACCGGAACAGCGAGGCGACAGCTCGGTCTCGGGAACTGCATCAATTAATCCTAATCGATCCTGCCATTTAGACTCGCGGATCTTCTCCGAACTCCAGGTTCTAGATAATGCTTCTCGCATCTTTCAATCCACGGAGGCGATCTCATCGCGTTTTCCGCAGTTTGCTTGTTCGTGGATGATTCTAATGAGAAACCCGGCTTCCAGAGGTCTTATCCGGAAACCGGGTTTCTGAGGAAACCCTACTGATGCCGGCAGGAGTGCCGGGCATGCCGAGAGTCTGCCGAGTGAAGTTCAAGTTGGATTTCCGGCGTCCGTCTTGAGGTTTGGTAGGTAGAAATATTGCAGATTGACTGACTTGGGGTTCATTCCTCTTGCTGAAACTAGTGCTGTGATTTCGAGCAATGATCAGCGGTTTGAACACGGCACGTTTTATACCAAGTTAAATATATCAATATATACCATGTTTAGCTATACACCATAGCATATTAACCCAGAAATCACAGCTTGAAAGGATGACCAAGTAAGGTGAAAGTGGTGTTCAACCTTCCAGACGGCCAATTGAATTAATTGATACACAATTCCAAGGGAAAAGGACACTAATTATAATGCTAGACCGGACAACTCACATTTTAAACTCCGCTCCCGGCCTGATCTCCGAGAGGGAGAATGGTGCGAGGGTTTCCGAGAAATTACCAAAAACGGAGGGTTTCCATAAGAAACCAGGTTTCTCAATAGAATAATCCCTTGTTTGTGCTTGTACGTGCTTGTACATGCACGTACGAGGTCCAAAAGCTCGCAAGCTCGCAAGACCATAAGCCAGGTCCAAAATCCCACAAGACATCAAAAAAAAAAAAATCCTAACCTATCTGAGTGAAAGGCAAGGTAGTGGTAGACGAGTTGGGACGCGCCTCGCAGCCTTTGCCCCACTGTGTAGATTAGATTGTGCCAATCTGATCTACACTGCCACCTGTTCAAGACTCTGCATTGCACGTCGACGCACGAGTCCTCAAAGTCTCTGTATCGCTCTTCCTCGTCCTCATGCCCGCTTTCTTTTGCTCATCATCGTTTTCTGCACTCCTCTCGTCCACATCCATGCACCTTTGACACCGCACGGTCTCGGCGAATGTGCCTGCGGACCACGCAAGATTCGATGCAGCTTTTCTCCTCTTCCTCTTCTCGCACTGAAGATTTGGGTTTTCCTGATCTCTGCTGCCTTCCGCACGCTGTGCGCCAATGTCACTGACGCTCTCTACGATCCGACACCCTACGACACCAGCTGGCCCGGGCAGCTCACCGTGTACCTCACTGTCGTGGCAGCAATAAACCGCATGCTCGCGGCTGCGGATCAGTTAGCAGAAAACATCCCGAATCGATTGCAGGTGCTTGATACTGCACCGAGCGCGCTATGTTGCTGGATGGTGGTGCATCTTCTTGTTCTGTATAAATTTCCCCCCACCACTTTCTCTTTTGACGCGCACCCGTGTTATTACGAGGCGAGTTTCAGTGGAAATAAGACCTAGTGGCGAAATGTATCGCGCCCACAAATCTATACTACTATATAATATCAGGGGGGGGTATAACAAACATTCGATGATGTTCCATCCCACGGTCCCATGTTCGTCATATGACCACGTGAACCTGCATACCGAAGCGGGAACATAAATAAGGGGACGGACAGGGACACGCGAGCAGGGACTGGGACTGGGACTGGGACGCGAACGGGGACGGGGACAAGAAGAGTCCGTTCGGGAAATGGAGAAACCGGCAGATCGAGCGACCGCCGGTTGACCGGCGATCGCTTACATCATCGAGCGGAACTTGAAAAATAGATCTCCTAAACAGAAAACAGCGGTCGTTCTGGTGGTAGTACCTGCAAAACTGCGTTCAAAGAGTCGAAAATTCAATTACAATTTGTCCCCACTACCTTCGTCCCTCTTCCTTTTTTTTTAAAAAAAAAAGTTCAGCCTTATTGCTCAGCCGGTTCATTCGAACCCCTGTTAAGTCGCTGTGGCTTATCGATTGCCCTTGAACCTGGAAGAAACAGTATGTAGCACCGAACCAGGATAATTCGCCGGAACAGGAGCCATTGCCTGAATTTTGGAACTTAAGTTGCCGTAGAGCCATCGTTATGTCGTATGAAAAATGCTATATCATTGGACAATTATTGTCCCATAAGTTGGCTGTAACGAAAGGCTAGAATGTCGGAGGCGCAAAGGGACAACACGCAGACGAAGGGGATTACCAAGGCAAAGGTTGCGGACATTCGATTCAAACTCCGACATGTGCCGAGTTTGATGCCGCCGGTTACGTTTGCCGGTTTCGCGGAATCCCGAATTTCCTGGACAAGAATGGGGACGAGAACAGGAACAGGAACGGGGACGGGGACGGGAACGGGAACGGGAACGGGAACGCGGGGACGCGAAAGGGGGTAGGGACGGGGATAGGCAGACTTGGACACCAACATCAACAGGAAAGGGTTCATGTTTGGAGGGAGAATGGCATATAACGATTACAGCTGCGGAACATAAGGCGCGGATCATTTTTTTTTTTTAAATGGCTTTTTTCACTATTGCCCCTATAGCTCCTTCATTCCTTTGTGTATTGGCTTGAAACCTTGACCAAACGATTTGTGCTGATTGTTTACAGTGCTTAGGGTACCTAATATATTTATTTTCTCGCACTAAGGATTCCAATTGGGAGATCATGTGATTGCGATATAATGCCCCTCTGGAGATGGGACAGCGGGTCAGGGCATTGCATAATCTTGTGAGGATACTATTCTATATATTTTACATTGCACTGGGGTATTTAATTGGCAAATATGGAACAGGGAAGTCTTGAACAAGTCCTAATATTTAGCCATCAAAACCAAAATACATCCTGTGTCATCCTAGTGTGCAGAATTCCCAGTAAAACCGTACAGTGCAATGTAATACATGTAAAAGAGTATTCTGACGAAATTTTGGAACACCTTGACTTGCTGTCCCATCTCCAGAGGGGCATTACATCAAAAGCATATGATCTCCCAATTGGAACCACCAGTGGGAGAAAATATATGTATGGGGTACCCTAAGCACTGTAAATATGCAATAAAAATCGTTTGGTTCAGGTTTAAAGTCGATAATTCAAGAAATGAATGAGATATAGGGGCAATAGTGAAAATGGCCATTTTAGAAAAAAAATTGATCCGCGCCTTCTGTTCCGCAAAGAGCTGTAATAGTATGTTCCACTCATTAAAACAATATGAATGACTATTTCACAGACAGACCGTGAATTTTATTCACGAGCATTATATAATTGCCCTCCTCTTTCCGCGTAAGTTCCTTGTTCGAATCGAGGCTGGGTCATGGATAGTGAAATTCAAGGTTTTTTTTTTCTTTCACAATGCGGCTGCGTCGTTCTTTCTCGACACACACCATAAGAGCCGATTCAGCTTAAACAAACGCATCGAGTTCGGAACCATTTATGCCCTCCGTGGCGGTTAAGTAGTTTCCCGGAAGATCCTTGTTCGAATCAAGACTGGGTAATGGGTCCTACGCATTGCGTTTTTTTTCTCCTTTGGACAACGCTGTCTCGTCGTTCTTCCTTCATAATTTTAGAGCTGATTCACGACACAGGAACTGACTTAGTTCACATAAGACCCAGGAGGCGAAATGCATTAATTGAACGAGTTGAACCTATTCATAGAAGCTCCTGGTTTGAATCCGGGCTGATGGATTTGTGTCCTTTTATTTCTTTCCAAAATAATTTCATGTTTACCCACCGCACGACACGAGGTGTGATTTAGTAACAGTACGGCCTAATGACGAAGGGCATCGCGTCCGCAACATCATTACATGTTTCTTCATCGAACTTGCGGAAAAGTACAGGTACGTAATAAGACCGTGTGGTTCGACTTCACTTCGGAGAATCGCCTTTGCTGGGTGTACTCCGAAATCACTGCACGACACGAGGTGCATTTCAGTGAGAATAAGACCCAGTGGTGAGAGGGATCGATCGCGTCCGCAATTTGTTAATCGACCAAGTCGTCGACACGCGACACGTCCCTGGTTCGAATCCAGGCTGGGTCGTTTATGAACAGCCTTGTATCGTTTTTTTTTTTTTTAAAATGCGATTCTTCTTGTTTGAGCAGAATTTCTCTGTTGATGCACCAATCGGAGGACTCATCCTTTTTGATTCCCAGATACCCGGGTCCCGACGATAAAATCATCGGGTTGAGAAAGGTATCGCGTCCGCATCATGATGATGTTTCTTGTACACCATCCAACTCGGGGTTTGTGAAAGTCCTTGGTTCGAATGCAGGCCGGGTCTTGAAAGTGATTTGGGCTTTTCTGTTTCTTTTCATTCGAACAGAATTCAGTTTCCATGACTTCGCCCCTACGATCTAGTGGCGAAGGGTATCGCATCCGCAGAACATAAAGATAAATCGTCACGAGTATGCAGCGGAAGTCCCCGGTTCGAGTCCGGGCTATGTCTTGTACAAATTCGAATATTTTTTAAATGATTGCACGCTAACAACTCGAGTCTAGAAGATCTTGGTCTTGACTGAACAGACTACGAGGATACCGTTGATGCTAGTCCGCAGTCTGGAAATCACCTGAGTACCAGTGTACTCGGTGACCCTCCTTTGATTCTCAGACAAGGAGCTGGTTGCTCTAGTTACCGTGCCTCCGGCAGTCCAGATACTGAATAGTGAAGTATTACACCAGAAAAACGCTGGTACAGTAGAAATGAGACCCAGTGGCGAAATGCATCGCGTCCGCAAATATTGTCCAAATGCGCATCGGAAGATCCTCGTTCGATTCAAGACTGAACCATAGCTCGTTATGCTTACTCTTTTTGTCTCTGTCCTTTCAGTAGTTGGGACAAACCTGTCTCGTTGCTTTTCTTTAACACAGAGAACAAGAGCTGATTCAGTTCAAATATAACCTAGTGGCGAAACGTATCGCGTCCGAAATTATTTGTTGCGAGCTCGTTTAAATTTCCCCGGAAGATCCTTGTTCAACTCAAGGCTGGGTCATAGGTCTTGCTTTTGTTTTCTTCTTCTTTCGCGCAGTGGAAAAAAGCAGCTGTCTCATCGTTATTCTTGCAATACAGAAGGCTGATTCAGTTCAAACAAGACCTATGTGGTGGCGAAACGTATCGCGTCCGGAAAATTTGTCCAAATCCGCGCCGATTTCCCCTTGGTCGGTTACGGTCGGTGGTGCTGGGGTCATGATCAAAGCTGTCTTCCCAAAAATCGTCTCCGAGTCCGCTACAATATAAGAGCTGATTCACTTCAAATAGGTTAAAGACCCAGTGGCGAAATGTATCGCGCCCAAAGAGAGCGATCTTATGTAATCGCGGGAGTCCCTGGTTCGAATCCAGGCTAGGTCATGACCTGTGTACTTGTCCATTTTAGTAGTTTCCCAAAAAATTCCGTACTCACCGAACGACACGGCATGGGGTGCGGTTCAGTTAGAATAAGACCTGGTGGTGAAAGGTATCCCGTCCACATTGTATACCACTCCTCTCCTTCGGTGTATGTGGAAGTCTCTGGTTCGAATCCAGGCTAGGTCGTGGAATCGACATGTGTTTTTTTTTGAAAGATTTGTGATTCTTCTTGTTTGAACAGGCGTTTTCTGTTGATCGTGAAATCGGCGGGACTCGTCCGTTTGATTCTCAGATACCCGGCTGACAGTGATAATGAAAACCCACACGACCCGAGGTACGATTTAGTAGAAATGAGACCCAGTGGCGAAATGTATTGCGTCCGGAATATTTATCCAAATGCGTCAATTTTCCCGGACGATCCTTGTTCGAATCAAAGCTGGGCGATAGTAGGTTATTCCAACCCTTTTTTCTTTCTTTCCTTGCAGTAGTTGGGACAAGCCTGTATCGTAGTTCTTCCTGCACAAGACAAGATCTGATTAAGCCCAAAATAAGACGTAGCGAGCAAACGCATCGCGTCCACAAATATGATTGAATATGATGAATATTGTCGTTCTTTTTCTCTTTTGCGCAGTGGACAAAGCAGCTTTCTCATCGTTCTTCCTGCATGACACGAGAGTCGATTCAGGTCAAATAAGACCTAGTGGCGAAATGTATCGCACCTGCAATCCATTAGGACTGTGAGAAGTCATTAAAACTTGATCGCAGAAGTTGGATCCTGGTTCGAATCCAGGCTAGGTCATTCTTGGTGAAGCATAGCAACAGTTTTTGACGCAACTGCGGGGGCATAGAAGCAAATAAGTTAGAAGGGGAGAATGACCATAAACCCAATATTTCGTCCAGGTCAGTTGCCAAGTCTGCTTCCACGTGCTCATCCCACGTGACCGCGACACGCTGGTGATGTCATGAATCGCTCACCGCTCCTTTCTCTCTTCCACCACCATGTCGACGCAAAGACACCCGCATTCCAATACCGAAGACGATTCCAATAGCTCGAAAGTCGTGCAAGCAGGCCGCGCCGCCGGCTCCGCCGCAATATCCACCTTCCACGCCCTCAACGACGCAGAACCGCACTACGTCCCTGGCGCCCCATACTCCACCGTCCGGCACACGCGCCCCTGGGTATACTACCAAGGCACCTCCACCGTCGTCCCCATCTCCATCCTCGGACGCACCCCGCTCCCCGCAGACCGCACCATCGCCCTCCAGCGCCGCGGCTGGCGCACGGGCCTCCTCGGCTGGACCCTCGGCGGCTGGCTCGGCGGCGCCCTCGGAAAGGAACTCGACGTCACCCCCGCATCGGCGGGCTTCTGGAACACCCTCGACCCCAAGAAGCGCGCGCAGTATGACAAAGAGATCTACGCATTCCTCGACTCGCCTTCTGGCCCGAAGGACCACCGCGCGCTCGAGACGGCGTTCGTGCATGTTCCCGTCGCCGCGGGCGACGGGTACTTCCGCTTGCTCATCAAGGGCGGGGGCGGGAAGGTGATTGCGCAGAGCGCAGCGTTCCGCGTGGGCTCGCTGTCGCTGAGCTCCGCGCACCCGCGCGGCGCGTCGCCCGTGACGCTCGTGCCGGAATTGGTGCTGAAGAGCGGTTCGGTGGCCGCGCACGGCGCCGCGTGGGCCGCGTTCTGTGCGGCGTTCCCGTTTTTGGAGGTGGCGCGGCTGCTGCCCGGGACGAGCGCGTGGGGGACGTGGGCGCTGCGGCGCGCGTATACGATGGTCGGCGGGGAGGAGACGGTGGCGGAGATGAAGGCGCGGTATAAGGTGGAGGAGAGGAGGATGCGCGCGGAGGAGTCGGTGTATCGGACGGTGCCGTTTGGGTCGGTGGGGGTGAGGACGGCGTATGACCTTGAGGAGGATGCGAAGATGGGCAAGGGCGGGGTGTTTTTCCGGCGCGATAATGAGTAGGGGCCGAGCTTGAGCGCATATCAACGTAGCGTTGTCACCCATACTAGTATTGTACCATCCCTCTAGTATCCTAGTGACTTTTCTTCTCTTGTGAAAAAAGGCTTCACAATGCTAGTGCACCCGGCGAGTCGATGGATGGTGAGCTGAGCATGCCAGTTATTTTTCAAAAGAAAAAAAGAAGAGACTTCCAACGCATGACCTGGCCTGGATTCGAACCAGGGATTTATTTCCACTTTGCAGCGACTGAAGTGCCATAAATTGCGGACGCGATACCTTTCGCCACCAGGTCTTATTTCCACTGAATAAAACCTCGTATCCTGCGGTGAGCATGTATTTTTTTCGAAAGAAATACAGGGCACCGCCACGACCTAGCCCGATTCAAATCAAGAGTTTATGTGAATAGTTCAGCTCGTTCAATTCATTGCAGGCGCGATACATTTCGCCAATGGGTGTCATTTAAGCTGAATCAGCTCATGTGCTTGTGGTGTCCTGGAGGGAAGAACGATGAGTGTCGTGAAGGAAGAACGATAGACGGCTGTTCTGTCCACTGCGCAAAAAAGAAAAAGAAAAAATGCAAAACCTCAAGCTGATGACCTAGCCTGGATTCGAACCAGGATCTTCCGGGGAAATGCTTAGGCGCTGAGGACAATGAATATTTCAGAACGCGATGCATTTCGCCACTAGGTCTTATTTGGACTGAATCGGTCCTGATGTTGTGTGAAGGAAGAACGACGAGATAAAAGAGTTGTGTGCTAGTTTATGACCCAACCTTGATTCGAACAAGGATCCTTCCGGAGTACTTAGGCGGGGAGGACACTAAATATTTCCGGACGCGATGCTTTTCGCCACTAGGTCTCGTTTGAGCTGAATCAGCTCTTGCGTTGTGTTAAGGAAGAATGATGAAACAGCTGTTTTGTTCCCGCTGCGTACAAGAGGAAAAAGAGCGTCGCCGCAAGACCAGTCACCCAGCCTCGATTCGAACAAGGATCCCTCCGAGAACTGCTTCGCTCACGATAAATATTTCCGGACACATGCATTTTTCCACTGGGTCTTATCCCCATTGAAACGCACCTTTTGTTGGACAGGAAAAGGGATGAAACAGCTGCTTTGTCCCAACTGTGCGCTAGCCGGACAAAAAAATTGATGCTCAAGAAATATTACCCAGCCTTGACTCGAACAAGGATCCTCCGGGGAACTACTTAGTAGTTCCGGACGTGATACATTTCACCACTAGGTCTTATTTCTGCTGAAATGCACCTCGTATCGTGCGGTGTTTTCATCGTCAGGACCCGGGCATCTGAAAATTAAAAATAATGAGTCCACTAATTAGTGCAACACGATTAATGGAGAAAGCTTGTTCAAACAAGTATAGCCCAACGGTGTGGCGAGCACACAAATCTTTCAAAAAACACAACTGCCGTCTCCAAATGCCACCCGCGACCTTTTTCTGGTGTGATAAATTGTGGACGCGATACCTTTCGCCACCAGGTCTTCTTTCCAGTGAATCACCCCTCGTGTCGTGCGGTGAGTTAGCATGCATTTATTTTCGAAAGAAATAAAAGACACAAATCTATGCCATTACCTAGGCCGGATTCACATCAGGAGCTTCTGTGAATATGTAGTTCAGTTCGTTCAATTTATTCAGTGATTGCAGGCGCGATATATTTTGCTACTGGAGATCATTTGAGCTGAACCATTGCTTGTGGTGTCTTGGAGGGAAGAACGATAGACGGCTGTTCTGTCCACTGGGCAAAAGAAGAAGAAGAAACGACGAGATTCAAACCTCATGACCTAGCCTGGATTCGAACCAGGATCTTCCGGGGAAATGCTTAGGCGCTGATGATAATGAACATTTCCGAACGCGATGCATTTCGCCACTAGGTCTCATTTGAACTGAATCGGTCCTCGTGCTGTGTGAAGGAAGAACGACGAGACACTTTGTCCAGTGCGCAAAAAGAAAAAACGCAACACTCCAAGCTATGACCCAGCCTTGATTCGAACCAGGATCCTTCGGAAGTACTTAGGCGGGGAGGACACTAAATATTTCCGGACGCGATACCTTTCGCCACTAGGTCTCGTTTGAACTGAATCAGCTCTTGCGTTGTGTTAAGGAAGAATGATGGAACAGCTGTTTTCGCCCCGCTGCGTACAAGAGGAAAAAGAGCGTCGCCGCAAGACCAATGACCCAGCCTTGAGTCGAACAGGATCCCTCCGAGAACTACTTCCAAGATAAATATTTCCGGACACGGTGGATTTCGCCACTGGGTCTTATTCCCATTAAAACGCACCTTTTTTTGGACAGGAAAAGGATGAAACAGCTGCTTTGTCCCAACTGTGCACTAGCCGGACAAAAAAATTGATGCTCAAGAAATTATCACCCAGCCTTGACTCGAACAAGGATCTTCCGGGGAACTAATTAGTTTCGGACGACATAAATGTTTCCGGACGTGATACATTTCACCACTAGGTCTTATTTCTGCTGAAATGCACCTCGTATCGTGCGGTGTTTTCATCGTCAGGACCCGGGCATCTGAAAATTAAAAAGACTGAGTCCGCTAATTAGTGCAACATGATTAACGGAGAAAGCTTGTTCAAGCAAGCATAGCTCAACGGTGTGGCGAGCACACAAATATTTCAAAAAACACGGCTGCCTTCGAACGAACTTACCTGGGTTCGAACCAGGGCCTTCCAAATGCCACCTGCGACCTTTTTCTGGTGTGATAAATTGTGGACGCGATACCTTTCGCCACCAGGTCTTCTTTCCACTGAATCACCCCTCGTGTCCTTGAGATATGCCAGTGCATTAGGGGCGAATATCATCTACTTCTGTGCGAGGTTTTTATGCTCAATGTGGCCCTAAGGCGTTTTTTTTTCATGTCAGCTCCAGCCGTTGTTTTTTTTCTGTACGGATGCCAAGTCCCCTATTTTTTTCACAGTTTCACCCCAATTTATTGCACAGTATATGGCCCATAAAGTTACAATGGAAATCTCAAAACATTGACGCAGAAGTTTCTACCCATCAATCGATTCATCAGCCTTAGAGGGTGATGGGGAGGCAGTTGATCGCGATGAGGCCCCCTGGAGATCAAAGAGTCAGAAGACAATATTTGGGCACGAAGAACAATACAAACCCCACTCCGCATCAGGCGCATCACAGATGACGCTGGTTCCTCCGCTGCAGAAAAGAGTTGAGTGTGATGTTTAATTAATTGTTAGCTGTTTGCGTACCAGTTGATCCCGATGACGGTGATGGGCGTGCAGCTCAAGCCGACGAAGACGAGGAGGCCGCTGAGGTCGAGACCAAGGAGATCCGCGACGTCAGAGGCCTCGCTGCTGCTGGACAACTGCACGCTGGAGCAACACTGCGGGGAGGTGGGGGGTGTCACCGGGGGAGTGGTCCACGGGCTAGCGGCAGCAAGGGTCTGAGAACATATAATAGTTAGTGTGTGGGAAGCTCGTCGATGCACGGGAGGGAGGCTGACAATGAGCACCGAGGTGGCAATGAGAGAGAGTTTAGAGAACATGTTTGTTTAGAGCTTGAATACAGAGGGATGTGTTCGAGTGAAGATTGGCAGTCTACCGCGCGCGCTCTTATAGGAATTGTGTCCAGATTTTCCCGCGATTGAGGAGCCCTATGGGATTGCAGCACCTCAAGAGCATGGTCAAATTGATAGAAGCAACGAGTCCCGAGGTGTGGAGTAGTTAGACAAGAGAGAACAAGAAAACGTCGAGGAAGACTGCTTGAGCTGAAATTCAATACAGTCTATTGCAGCTGAATGACAGTTTTACAGATCAAACCCTTGGCCGAGCTTCGGACCGGCCCTCTGGGCTGTTCCAAGCGCATACGATGACCGAATAATTAACGTAAACTGATATGCATAAAATGACGTCCATGATTCCTCCCTATTCCTCCGTAACAGCGCTTTGGCCGCGCGGAACATTCAATCCGTCAAGTCATCCATTTTTGACCTGTGTTTCATCAACCCGGAAAGCGCGGCCTATCAAGGTCCACGAATTAAGTTGGAAGACGAAAATATTCCGAAGAGACTCGGTGCCCTTGATTTACAGTGGTCTGACCACAAAAGGGTTCCTGCTGATAACTGCACCCGGCTCCGTGGGTGCAATTAATTTAACTGATCCACCGCGGGGTGCTCCCATGTCAAGCGTCTAAATTGAATGGCACCACAGATCACCTTCGGCGGGGGACAATGGACATGGGAATATCAACATGACAGCCACAGTTTGGCCACAGTTCCGTTAATTTATGTTACCACAAGATGTGCCTTCGCTCCGCTTCGGCCCTTAGATTGCTTATCAACTGCGGCACGAAAGAAGGTTCAAAAATAATCCCAGTATCTTTCCGGTGCTGAACGTTACAACAGATAAAAAACACATGTACAACTTTTATAACATGTTTAGTACTTATGTGAAAAGATGAAATGAAAATCTAGTCGGCGATACCTATTAAGTCTGACCATGCGTAAACCAACAGGCCGCAGGGAAGCATGGACGTGATAATGGTCTCATTAGCGAGACATCTCGGTACACGTTACATATAGAAAACAGCCCAAGGTGAACGAGGCGGTCATACGGAAGGACGGGCCGTTCAACGAAATTTGCGGACCAGCGACAACCTAGATATTTCCGAATCTTGGGACCGAGACAGAGATCTATGGCTCGTTAATATTTGCGGAATCATGATTGCATGCAGAGGATTGAGACAAAGCCGACAGAGACCAGGAAAAGATCACAGGAGGGCATCAAAGGTTGCCGCCGGTGTGAGGAATTGCATAGCCAAGGAAAAGGAAGGAAACAAAAGAACAACGTTGGGATTCTGACCGGGTTGGAGCGAGCTGGGACTGGTCTTTTATATTCTCAGCAGCGCTACGGGCCGCAGCCGCCGTCCTCCGGCACAGTAGGGATTTCGGGGAGATTTCGGCAACTGCTGTCACTCTACACTGCTCGCAGTCGTTCCGCGGTTAGGAAGCAACAGAAATGCGGGCAGTGTGAGCACCCGATCTGTTTTGGGATTGATTGAACGAATTTCAAGGCTGTGTGATGGAATTGTAGCTACATGACGGGTCATTTGACTTCGAGCAGCAAGAGAGTAAAGAGTTACGAGGATGGATGGGGATAGAACCAAAGAGTCCCCAGCATAAGCCGTCCATTTCGTCAAAGATACGGATAATTTGTGCCATCCCCTCTAGTTCTTCCAGGGAAATCGACGGGCGTTGAGATTGGCCTAATATTTCCGGATGTGATGCGTTTCGCCACTGGGTCTTATTTGAACTGACTCAGCTCTTGTGTTGTGTGTGAAAGAAGAACGACGAGACAGCTGCTTTGTCCAGTGCGCAAAAAGAAAAAATGCAACACTACAAGCTATGACCCAGGATCCTTCCAGAGTACTTCATCAGAGAAACCGTAGATATGAGCACTAGGAACAAAGTATGAAGCACTATGCAGCACTGTATAGGGCTCCCCTAGTGCCCCCTAGCTACATCACAGCCACATTCTGCTGCCTAGTGCTGCCTAATACTGGACAGTGTCATTCAGTTTTCCTGATGTTAGGCGGGGAGGACACTAAATATTTCCGGACACATTCCCACTGAACCGCATGGGTATCATGATCATGATCAATTCTTGGATTGAGGTCTGCCGAGATACCATTTGGTTAGGCTCGAATCCAGCCTGTCTATGAAAGCAAGCTTATCGATAGACACAACAGGCTTGCCTCCATAGACAGACAGTTATTGGTCTACCATTTGGTGTTAGTCCAGGGGCTGAGTGTACTTGGACTCCTCCTTTTTGAGTCTCCAGGGAAGCTTGCAACGAACGCGAAGTCATCAGACGACCCGAGATGCAACTTTGTAGGAAAAAAAGGAAGACTCCAAGTGAAGCATGACCTAGCCCGGACTCGAACCGGGGACTTCCGCTGCACACTCGTCGTCAGATTTATGTTCTGCGGATGCGATGCCTTTCGTCACCAGCTCGTAGTTCTACTGCATTACGCCTCGACGAACTAAAATAAGCGGTGGCAAGTAGTACACCTTGCGAAGTCGGGAAGGTGCTCGTGGAAAAATAAGATTACGAAAGGCAAAAAGATATCATCATCCCTTCACGACCGAGCCTGGATTCGAACCAGGGATTTCCACATACCACACTTGTGGATGATGTATGATGTTGCGGACGCGATACCTTTCGCCACCAGGTCTTATTCCCATTGAAATGCACCTCGTGTCGTGCGGAGAGCATGTGTTTTTTTTCGAAAGGGAAAACAGGACACGAATCCATGCCACCACATAGCTCGGATCCAAGTCAGGAGCTTCTGTGAATAGTTTCAACTCGTTCAATTGATTGCAGGCGTGATACAATTCGCCACTAGGTCTTTAACTTATTTGAACTGAATCAGCTCTTATACTGTAATGCTCAGAGAGTGATTACTGGGAAGACAGTTGGGGGCGCGATACATTTCGCCACTAGGTCTTGTTTGAACTGAATCAGCTCTGGTGCTGTGAAGGAAGAATAATGAGACAGCTCCTTCTTCCCATGCGCAAAAGAAAAAATGGAGAGACCTACGAGCCATCACCCAACCTTGATTCGAATAAGGATCACCCGCGGAACTAGACGAAACAACGTCGATTACAGCAATATTTGAGAACGCGATACCTTTCGCCATTGGGTCTTATTTGACCTGAATCAGCGTTGTTTTGTACTGGACTTCATTATTTGTCTTATACAGGAATTCACTATTCAGTGCTCACGACTGACGGAGGCACGGTGACCAGCTTGAGATTCCCTCGCTCCTTCCAGTTGTATCAAAAAATAGATGTGCTCCCCCAGGATTGGCCACAAAACCAGAAACCCGGTCATAGAAGGCGGATGCC